CTCTCTCTCCTTGATCCCCTAACTATGCACGACTCTTCTTTTCTTTATCTCTATCACGTCCGATTTCCTACAAAATAAAATACCATAATAAGACCCATAATATCTTATATATGGAATATAAAATAAACTCAATTAAGGAAATAAAATATTTGAAGATCTTCTCTTTTTCTGTGGTTCCAGGTGCTTGTTCGAACTAATGCCAAATAAAAATATCTTTCACTCGCATTCCAAATGAAGTACACGGTTGCTACGCGCTGATTTCTTCATCTTGGTTTGCTAATTAGCCCTGCTAGCCTCCTTCTTAGTTCATTTAAGGGCCCCTTTGAGAGTCAATAGCCTATGACGGAGGCTAATCCAATCACGAATCTCTCCCCATATCTCCAAACTAAATGGCATTCGAAGAAAAGGTGACCCGATGATTCACCCACTCCACCGCAAAGGGAGCAATTCAGGTCTACCTCGAAGAACTCTAACCGATATTTTGTATGAAGACGACTGGGCAATCCTAGCTAAAGAATGAAGGAGTTCTTGGGGGTATTGCAAGGCCTCCAAAAAACCCCCATCCAAGGCTTCAATATACCACGGGGCCTTAGGAAGTCATAATAACTTCTCGACCCGCCTTGCTTATCTAGCGAACTCCAACGATGAAGTAGGTCTTTCGCGGCTTGCTCACTACTCTCATTCTCTACCAAGACACATCGGATCTCGAAGAGATATTTGAAGAGGAGAGAGTCGTCCGTGTGAATTTCTCATTCCCACACGGACTTACCCTCCAAATAAATTTTTTGGATCCACTTGTACCATAGGGTGTCCTTCTTGTCATTTCAACTGTCAAATCCCGAAGCCTCAAGCCTCCTTCCGATCGCGGGAGACATATGTTATCCTAAGCAATGAGGGCACTTTTCAAGCCCCAAAGAAATCACCTACATAGTTGGACAATTTTGATGTGCACTATAGTAGGAAAGTGGAATATCTCAAACCAAAAATACTCAATCCTTTGGATCATCGAGCAGACGGGTTCCACTTTACCGCCCTTCCAACCGCTAAGTTGAGCCTCAATTTGTTTGACTAAGCCCACAAAGAGTCTAACGATGAATCGCTCCGCGGTGAGAGGGATCGCTAGGTACCGAAAGGGCATTAGACCACATTGCAAGTGGGTCTCGTCGAGGATTGTTGCCCGACTATCATCTTTTAATCCCAACAAATAAATATTGGGTTTTTGAACATTCATTTCTAGTCCCAATTTAGCCCCAAAGTATTTGAGGCAATTTTTGAGAATTTTTGAATGGACGATGGTTCACCTCGCAAGAGAAGCATAAGATCACCGGCAAAGGCAAAATGTGTGATTTTGAGATGTTCACACATCGGGTGGAATTTGAAGTTCGAGCCTTCCATCGTGTTGCACTTGATGAGTCTAGAAAGGCATTCAAAGAATATAACAAAAATGAAAGGTGATAGGGGGTTTCCTTGCCTTAGTCCACGCGCCCCTTTGAAGTGACCGTTGAGGCTCCCGTTAATCGATAGTGAATAGGATTAGCTTGTGACGCACTCCATGACCCACTTCGTGAAGACTGAAGGGAAGCCAAAACCCTCGAGCACTTGCTTGAAGAACGACCAAGAAATAGAATCGAAGGCTTTTCGGAGGTCGAATTTGATGGTACATCTCGGGAAAACTCATTTCCTCATGTATTGACGGAGCAATTGATGTATGAGGTGGATGTTATCCGAGATACTTGTCCCATTAACAAAAGCGGCTTGAGCCTCATCAATGATGGAGTCGAGGACTTCACTAGCTCTCCAAGCAAGGATCTTGGAGCAAATTTTGTACAATGTACTGCAACACGTGATTGGTCTACAGCCGTCACAATCGAGGAGTGTGAAGACTTCGTCCCAAGCGTAAGAGTGGTGTGCTTCCATTTCTTGAGGAGGGATCCGGAGCGAAAAAGTTCTTGAATTGCCGCCACTACATCGGCCCCAACTAGTGGTCAGCTTTTCAAGAAGAAAGACGAGGTATAACCGTCCGGACCCGAGAATTTCTTACCCTCAACGTCATGAAGGGTGGCCTTAATGTCGGCTTCGGTCACTGGGGAAAGAAGCGAAGCATGGTGCTAGTAACAATGCGTGAGCCCGTGTTGAGAACGTTGGGGTCTACATCCTCCATTTCAATACCCGTACCCAAGAGGGACTCATAATAGCCTACAAACTCTTTAGCAACTTCATTAAGGGAGTCGGTCACAGATCCATCTCCCCGGTTGATCGAGGATATGAAATTCCGCTTCGATCTCTTCTTGACCAAGGCATAGTAGAACTTGGTGCACTCGTCGCCCTTTACTAGAAAGTTAAATTTGGCCTTTTGTTGGTAAAAGAGTTTCTCCGCCTTGGGAAAAGTTACATCTTCGATCTGGCTTTTCTTTTCTTTCTTCTACACTTCCTCCGTTATGTCGTTTGAGTGTACAATTATTTTTGCTTATTAATTGTAGGTTTGGATATAAGGACCAAAAGAAGGACTTGCACATGGTCTTTATCGACCTTGAGAAGGCTTATGACAGAGTACCGAGTAATGTCATGTGGTGGGCCTTAGAAAAGCACAATGTCCCATCTAAGTACATTACCCTCATTAAGGATATGTACAAGGATGCGATGACGTGTGTTCGAACATGTGGGGGCGATACCAGCGACTTCCCAATTAAAATAGGACTACACCAGGAGTCAGCATTGAACCCTTATTTATTTTCCTTGGTGATGGATGAGGTCACAAGGGACATACAAGGTGATCTCCCTTGCTGTATGCTCTTTGCTGATGATGTGATGCTAGTTGACGAGAGTAGGGCCGGGGTAAATAGGAAGTTAGAGTTGTGGAAGGACACATTAGAGTCGAAAGGCTTCAGACTTAGTAGGACGAAGACCGAGTACATGACGTGCGCTTTCAGCATTGCTATTCATGATGATGGTGATGTTAGCCTTGACGGGCAAGTGGTGGCCAAGAAGGAGACTTTCCGGTATTTAGGATCGATGCTACAAAAGGATGGCGGCATTGATGAAGATGTTAGGCATAGAATTGCAGCCGGTTGGTTGAAATGGCGTCAAGCTTCGGGCGTTCTCTGTGATAAGAGGGTGCCACAAAGGCTAAAAGGTAAGTTCTATAGGACGGCGATTCGCCCGGCGATGCTATACGGTGCTGAATGTTGGCCTACAAAAAGGCAACATGTCCAACAACTAAGTGTAGCAGAGATGCGGATGTTGCGTTGGTTTTGCGGGCACACAAGAAGGGATAGAATCCGAAATGATGATATTCGTGATAGGGTCGGGGTGGCTCCAATTGAGGAGAAATTGGTTCATCATCGGCGGAGGTGGTTCGGACATGTCCAACGGAGGCCTCCTGATGCACCGGTGTGTAGGGGAGTTCTACAGCGGGCCGATGTTGTTAAGAGAGGTAGAAGTCGACCTAAACTCACTTGGGAAGAGTCGGTTCAGAGAGACCTTAAAGATTGAAATATCTCAAGGATTTAGCGGTGGATAGGAGCGCTTGGAGACTAGCGATCAACGTGCCGGAACCGTGACTTTTGCTCCTTTCTCTTTTGCTCCAATCTCTTTTTTTTTTACCACTCTTTCTATTGGGTTTCATCTCTAGCCTACCCCAACTTATTTGAGAGTAAAAGGCTTTGTTGTTGTTGTTGTTGTTGTTGTAATTGTAGTTTTGGATAATCATGAACTAATCAGTTTTGTAATAATGGGACTTTACATAATTTTAGCATTGAGTTTGAGAATGAGAGAGAAAATTATTAAAAATGTTAATTAAAATACTACTAAGATTTAGGAGATTTAAGAGATGTAGAATGATAATTTATAAGTTGAATAGTAAAAAAACCAATCAAAATTCAAATTTAACTCAACTTTAACTCAACCCCACTATCTTCAATATTATCAATATAATTAAATAATATCAACCAATCATTTTTACACATCACATCAACTTTAATTCACTATTTATCCACTCACATAACTCTAACTAACTATCATTTCCAATCATTTTTTCCCTACTTTACATCAAATCAATTTTAATTATTTTATTTAAATATTATTTTTATATATCCACTAACAACTAACCATACCACATTTTTTTTTAAAATTAACTATAGTTAAAAACAAACCAAATAAAAACCAACTCAATCCATAAACAATCATTACTCCGTTGGGGGTTGTCATTACTCAGGTGGGGGTCTTTTAGTGTTGTTATTTTTTGTGTGATTTTGTTTGGTGGTGCTTAGGTCTCATAGCTTTGTCTATGCCTTTAGTCCTCTGTTGGTGTTTGGTCTAAGCCACCCAGTGGGTGTGGTTCTCCAGTTGTTTTTTTTTTGTAAGGACTAGTGAGTCATCCGATCTGTTTTTTTCATTATTGTTATGAGATATCTAT